AGATATAGATATGATTTAAAAGATTTAACCCTCAGTTAGCTTTATGTGCCCTTTTTTGGTTTGTTAATAGATATCATATTTTTAATCGTATATGATACCTATTAACAAACCAAGAAAAGGGCACATAAAGGTAACTGAGGGTTCAAGTGACAGTTAAAGCAGTAAAAGCAAGCCTAGATTGGGATGATCTATTGAATATAAAATACATTCAGTTAAAAAAAATTAGAAAAGCAGCTGCTTTTAAGGTAAGGAATGCTTATTGTTAATGTTACTTTAATTATGTGTGTTCACAAGGATATTTGGGTACTGCTTGTATGATACTTTAGTTTATCTAGAAAATCCCTAAGAAATCTTAAGAATTCTGTGCACACAGGTTTACATAGTTTAAACATTTTCACATCTATAATAAAGTTTTAGAATAGTTCTTAAAAGTGTCCTTGCACCCCTGTTTAAACCATCTAATGTATTGTGTCTCTGTCAATTATTTCTCTTGTGATTAGAGAGATAGCAGAGTTATAATTTGTTTCAAATAAGGTTTGGACCTTGGTTAGGTCACTCAATTTTACTGTACTACTACTTCTTTACCCAAACTAACACTAACATTTCTCCATGTTCCTGTTATTTAAGAAGAGTAATAAAAGAAACTACAGATCTGAACATTTTGGCATATTGATGAGCTTCTTTCATAGATATTTATATTTTCCTGTTCTTTTGATTTGCACATCTGGAATACATAGGAATAAATGAATTAAAACCTGGCAATGGATTTAATGGGAAATTTGTTGTAGTTGGTCATTTATGTATCACCAAATATGATTTTTTAATTCACATTAAGTCAAATTACACATTCTTAGCTGTGTCATCTGTAGGAATAGCCTTGTGTTCTCTGGCCTGATGCTAATGATGGGTTTTGCTTTGTAGATTTCAAAGAAAACTCTTGTTTGTTCTTAACAGAAATCATCGAGATAGACAAAATGGGTGTCTTTTTATTTTTTTTAAGGAAAAAAATGAGATTCACATAGACTAAATTTGTACAATTATTAGATAACAGACGAAAACTAGATATTATGTCACCAGGTATTTATCTTGGAAATTTAATTGTACAATAACTACCTAAGGTCATTTCCCTGAATCACCAGAATTGTAAAATGGGGAGATTTTAACCCTTTTGAATTAAAAATACAGATAATTTCTCTGCATTAAATTATATACTCATGACCAGTAATGCTGGGGATACTTATAAAATCATCGATTATCCAGTATTCTTTTTAATGTGCTATGCTAGCCCAAGCTTAATAAAAAAATAAAGTCCACAGTACTTATTGTTGAGCAACAGGTATGTATATGTCTTTAAATATGCTTCTTAAAATTGACCATTAGGTTTAAAATCACTTCCCAAATTATTAAAATGGACTGAGTTTCTGTTTCCTGTTATAATTAGCTTCTTGTTCCTGCTTTTGGATGTTTTTCTCCAAAGATGAGTCAGTTTAATATGTTGAGCACAAATCATGATACTGGAAGGGATCTCGCCTTAAAAGAACATGCAGTTGACTGTCTAGTTTTGAATAAGTTCAAACATTGCTATTAATTTCCTTAGAATCCCAAGGTCTTAACTTTCAGAGAACTACTGAATTTAATTCTGCTGCTGAGTTTTGTCATGTTTATATGAAATTAGAGATCAAATAACAGAACTGTCCATTTTAACCAGGCATGTATACTGTATTTTAAGCTATCTATACATTTTCTTAGTATTCTTGAGGAATCGTATAGATAGCTAGTTGAATATAGGAATTAGAACTCCAAATTTTTTTATCATAAACTCTATACTTTTTCCATTTTACCACTTCTATTTAATCAACAGAAGCAACTTTATGGAGAATTAATTCACATTTCTTTGAGAAGCTCTTCTGATTACTTTTTATTTTTTATTCCATAGATTTTTCTTGGAAATGAAATGTAGTACTTATGTGTTTTCAGTGAATATCTTCATTGAAATGATGCTTTTTGCCTGGAGAGAACCTCTTACTCATTTTCTATGCAAATATTTAAAACTTATCTGATTTATATAACAAATATTTATATTTATATAACTTATAGAGTAAAAGACTCAACCAATATTACTCTTGATTGAGGTATATTATGTGACTAGCTAAGTGAATGGAGTTACTTTAGTCTAGGTTTGAAAAGCCACTTACTGAACTATAAAAAGTACTTATGCTTATTCATCCTCTAATGCCATTTCTGCACATTTATCCTTAGAAAATGGTCAGAAAATGCCTATGGTTATGAATAAATTCTTTGCAATATTTATGTATTTGGGAATATTGGAAATGATTTGGATGTTATCTGAAAGTTACATATATATTGTACACATCTATTTGATGGAATTTGATGCAACCATAGAAAAATGATGACTGTGGACACTTAGTAAAGCAAACAATGTTTAGTAAAAGCAGGTCACAGAGTAGGAGCTACACTATAATTATACCCATTTGAAAAATGTGTGCATGCAGACGACTGCATGAGACTAGAAAAAGAACCGTAAGGCTGTTAGGATTTTCAAACTTAGTTTTACCTTCTGTGTTCCAAATTGTACATGTTCTTATCCAGATTTAAATCACAAGATCAAATTTGTTGAAATTTTGTATGTCAATTATATTTTGCTAATAGAACTCTATATCAAAGAGATTTCTTTGGAGGATCAGCAGACTCTAAAGTATCCTTGCATTTATCAGAGAAATCAGGCCAAACCAGCCCCTCTGGCCTGTAGCTCTCACAAGTACAGGTTTTCACAAGATTTTTCTTCTTTACTTTTCAAAGACAAGAATAATGGGAGAACAGCTATTTCAGTATTTTTCTTCTATTTCATTTCCCATGTTTGTTTGGAAAAACCTTAAACTGAAGGGAAAAGAAAGAAGAGAGAAAGAGAGAGAGAGAGGAAGAGAGAGAGAGAGACACATATGCAAAAGCATTTGACAAAATTATTTGAAGTTCAGAAAAGGGTGGCTACAGAATAAATTCTAAACTAATTGCTAGTTACCAACTCTGCTTAAATAGTTTCAGAATTCTCCTTTATTGTATCCCGCAATCAAGTACAAAATTGTAATAAATCATTACAATAAACCTATAAATGAAATGGAATAACATAGGGTTATCAGTAACTTCCTAAATCATATTTATATTATTTTTTTAAAATCCTCACCTGAGGATTATTTTTTTTGATTGATTTTATTTTTTTAAGAGAGAGTGGAGGGAAGGAAGTGAGAGAAAAAGAGAGAGATATGAGAGAGACACTTCAGTTGGTTGCCTCCTGCATGCACCCTAATCAGGGTCAGGGATCAAGCCTGCAACCTTGTCTGGGAATTGAACCCTCAACCCTTGCGTCCAGGGCTGATGCTCTAACCACTGTGCAAACAGGCCAGGGTCATATTTGTATTCTTGATATCTCTCAGATGTTCTGGCACAGAGTAGTTTATTCAGTGAATTTTTGAAATTAAATAAATTGAATTGGGTCGGTGAATAGAGTTGGCCCATTGGTAGTATGTGGAATACAAAGCTTTAGCCAGCTTGAGGTTTTCCAAATAGTGCAGGATGACATTTCTAAATGTTCTTTTCAAGATGTAGCATGATACAGACAATAGAATATGAATATAATGGGGAAAAGATCTAAAAGTAAATGTGATCATTTTATGTACACAAATCTAAAACAAAAAAAACAAAACTCTGCTTTTTAAATAGTAACAGGATTCCCATTTCTCTTTCTCGCTGAACTCCAAAATAAAGTGCTTGAGTCTTTATTTGCTCAGTTTGTAAAAACAGTGAAAACTAAAAATCATTTCCTTGAAGCCTGAAGCAGGAACATGAAAATATTAAAAGAACATTCCATGTTTTAGAAGGCCCTCTTGTGGTAAAAAGGTCAAACTATCCCAAATGAAGACAGCTTTGGAAACCTGACAGGAGCAGTCACCATAGCAGACTTTATTAATAGTAATCATCGTAAAGAGTCAACATTGAGCAGATGAATGTGAAATAATCCATTTCACCTATCCTTATGGTCCCTACGGCAAAATTGAAAGACAGAGACCAAATAGGCAATAACAAAAACTAATCTTTTCCCATCAGCTTTATATAACTACCCAGGAAATTTTTAATGATAAAAAAAAAAATAATAATAATAGCTCCTGGCAACATTTTACTAAAAAAGCTATCACATTTTGCTTTATACATTTTCCACTGGAGAGTGATTTCAGATTAGCACAAAAGTTGCAAAAATAGAACTAAGTGTTCCTGCCTGTTCTTCACCCAACTTACCTAAATAGTAACATCTTACATAACCAGAGAGTCATTTATAACACCAGATTAGCATTGCTATGCTGCTGTTAGCCAATCTATGGAGCATAATTGGATTCCATCATTTGTCTTAACAGCATCCTTTCTCTGACTCTAGAGCTGTCCAATCTGCGCCTTTCTCTGTCTTTCATGACCTTGACCTTTTGGGAAAGTACTGGTCAGTTATGGTGTAAAACATCCTTTCATTTCAGCGTGTCTGCTGTTTCCTCGTGATTCTTTTCAGGTTATGCATTCTCAGCAGTCATACAAGCCATGGTGTGCCCTTTTTTCAGTGACCCATAAAAGTAGGTACTTGAATGTGTTGTTACTGGTGATGTTAACTTTGATCCCCTGGTTAAAGTAGTGTCTGCCAGATTCCTTTACTGCAATATTCCTATTTCTCCCCCCCCTTAATAACTAATAAATATATCCACATATTTTATATTAGGTGTTGAACATAATTGGTATCATAAATGCATTTTCCTGCTCATGGACATTTTACTGAAAAGGAGGAATTTTTCAAGGGATTCTGTTCTCTATCTGCCGATAATCGTTTTCCCTTTCGTCTGTGGCCTTCTTTCACCAGTCTTGCACTGTTGGTGAAAATCCTCATGACGGATTCGACTTGTTCCATGTTGACTGACCCTCTTGCACTTCGTGTGACCTTGTAGGTATGTCGAGAGTACCAGCGTGGCAATTGCAACCGAGGAGAGAGCGATTGTCGGTTTGCTCATCCTGCTGACAGCACAATGATTGACACCAATGACAACACCGTCACCGTGTGCATGGATTACATCAAAGGGAGATGCTCTCGGGAAAAGTGCAAATACTTTCATCCCCCTGCACACCTGCAAGCCAAGATCAAGGCTGCCCAATACCAGGTCAACCAGGCTGCAGCAGCACAGGCTGCAGCCACCGCAGCTGCCATGGTGAGTAGGCACACACCAGCCCACTCCTTGTTAGCAAAGTGAACAAGTGTATCTGATGACAAGCTCTTCATTTATTGACTTTTTCTTTTTTATTTTTTTTGCTGAAGATATGTTTGTTCAGGTATCCCAGACAATGCCTAATGCAGTTACCGTTCACAAAAGTGAGGGTAACTCCTCAAATGGTTTCACATTGCTTCTACCTTTGGCCTAACTCTTAATACTCTGTCTTCCTCTGGATGGCAGGGCCTCTGACATCTCTGCTTTGTAAAGAACACCTGTCTCCTTTTCAGTTTAACGATATTGCCGTCTCCGGTGCTCGTAGGTCTACCTGCTATCTAATCAGCCAGTGTTCTCCTTCTTCCATGTGCTCTTCTGCACACCACGCCTTTTCTCTCTATACACATATATCTTGCATTTAACAGTCACATAATTTGAAACTATTTAGGGGAATTGCTTCCACAAAATTGTGTTTGGAGTTAGCTGCAAGATTCGAACCACGTAGGCTCTCTGGATTGTCTTAAAGAAGATCATGGCATAAACATAATTGGAAAAGGAGAGGAGTTTGACTATGCCATTCTCTAGAAAAGAGAAAAAGGGGAATTAGAAATGGGATTATTTAGAATCGATATGGAACTAGTCTGAAGGTAAATTTTGAGGTGACCTCTTAGCTGATTTTAATGGGCCCATTCTTTGTTCTTCGCTTAGCTATTTTAATGTTGTCCCTTTCTACACAAAAATATATGACTCAACCATTAAAATAGTCATAAAGCACAATAATCACGAGAGAGGTCTTTTCTGTGTTTGTTTTTTGGATACTTGAGCAAAAATACAGAAGGCTGACTCTCTCCTCCTCTCTGCCTTTCACTTTATTTTTTTTTTTCTGTTAGAGTATCTTGTTTGTAATTAACTACAAAGAGGAGTTATCCTCCCAATAACAACTCAGTAGTGCCCTTATTGTGCATGCTTAGTCTTGTTATTCGTTGTATATGGCATTCCGATGATTTGTTTTTTTATTTGTTTTTTCTCACCTACCCAAAAAAATGCACTGCTGCCCCCATGATGCACCTCTGCTTGCTGTTTATGTTAATGCGCTTGAACCCCACTGGCCCATTGCCATCATGTGCTCGCTGCCTGCTAATTAAGACTCAGTCGGCTGTCAAATCACTGAAGCGACCCCTCGAGGCAACCTTTGACCTGGTACTATGACCTTTCACCTTTTAGCTTGGCATGTAGCTTTGTTGTAGATACAAGTTTTTTTTTTTTTTTTTGGTTTTTTTTTTTGGTAATCAATTTTAATATATATAAATATATATTTTCTGTTATAAAGTTGCAAAGTACAATGAAAAACTGAGTGTGGTTTCCTGACAAAATTAGTGGAAAGACTATATAATCTAAGTACCTGGATGGATATCGTACAATGAAAGATTCTGAAAGACCAGCAGCCCACATTCAGTTTAACTACATTGTAGAACGTTCTAATGAAATACTTCAAGGACATAAAAATTGTAATTTTTGACTGTATATTTATGTACCTCTTTGGTTAGCATGGCTTTAGTGATAGAATTATTTACTTTGTAATATTTAAAGTTCAGTGTTGAAGAAAAAAAAAAAACTTGCATGCTCGGGGACATTTGCATGTCTAGGTAGAGCTGGGGGCGGGGCAGAGTGGGATCAGTTTTTATTTGACCTGTTTCATCCACTCAGTACAATTAACTATTAACATTGCTTATACTTGTCAATCCTCATGGAGCTCACAGTGCAGCTTTTTCTTCTCTTCCTAAATCAGTGGCTTCTCAGAGAAAGCCTGAAGCATTATGGGACTTAAAACACTTAACGCATTGTAACAAGTGCTCATGAACTAGTGGGGTTTTTTTTGTTGTTGTTGTTTTTGTTTTTGATAAAAATAATGCTTCCTTTAAAGCTTTTATCTTGCGTTTGTTTTTAAGAAATTGTTTGTTTATTGGATCCCCTCCCCCCGTGGGTAGTTAAAGTGCTCTGCTGCTTGCTTGCTCATGCTTCCTAACAATGTTAGCCTTCAACTGATTTTTCTTTTTTCTTTTTCTCTTTTTACTGGTATTTGTTTTTTATACTCGTTCACTAAACAGGGAATTCCTCAAGCTGTACTTCCCCCATTACCAAAGAGGCCTGCTCTTGAAAAAACCAATGGTGCCACCGCAGTCTTTAACACTGGTATTTTCCAATACCAACAGGCTCTAGCCAACATGCAGTTACAACAGCATACAGCATTTCTCCCTCCAGGTAAGGGGTTTGAGTCTGTTTGTCCGTGCATCAGCCAATCCACGTAGAGTTCTACCGGTAGAGCAGACAAATCAGCCGTGCCCCCAGTGTGTTGTTAGCCATAAATAAGGTGGAAGGTAAGGTGGCAACAGTGAAAGCTTCTCGGAGGTGTCCCATGTGGTTTTCCTTAGAGACTAAGAACGGTAGTTCCACGAAACATGGATTGAAGACCAGTGATGTTTTATGTACTTATTTTTTGTTTGTGCAACTTGGAATTGAAATGTGGCGCTTCTTGTTTTTGTTGTGTTTTGTTGTTTTGTTTTGTTTTTTTCTTTCTGCAAACGTGTTGTATGTGTGCCAGGCTACTTATGACACTTGTCTGCTGTAAGATCCCTTTGCCTTCATGATTCCATGGAGTCCATTCAAATTCTTTGAAATGACACCTTCACTTTTGATTTCGATTTGTCAGCCCTTTTGTTCTCAAGGTGGTGAATGAAAAACTGACAGTGTTCTAGGGCCCTTAAAAGTGCTCCCTTCAGTACCAATCAGTGCATGGCTTATAATCACAATTGATCCTAAGCTAATACTGAAATAGCTATCAGTGCCCAGTGATGATAACATTTATTCTAGAGTTTGTACCATTTGTGGTTTCAGTTGATTTCAACTTAGTCACATAAACACTCTAGAACTATCCACAAGGTTATGAAATTTAAAAACATAAACTAATCAGTCACTTACTGACCTGGATATTTATTTAAGTCATTCTTCATCTACTTCAGAAAATACATATTAATCTCCTTGTAATCTGAAATTAACTAACCAGAGACTAAGACCATTTTCCTCTTTACCTCTTAATCTTACAAAAAAATATTACCATGAGTTCTGAGACTTACTTAATAAAGTAATTTTTTTATTTTTTTATGTAAATTAATAATTTTTAATAGATGTGTTAAAGATCCAGACCTATTTGACACTATTGGCAGTGCATTAAGTTCATAATACCACTGGGGAATGTGATTATTTATTTTTTAATAATAAAAAAGAATAAATTATATTCACATTAATTTTCACTAAGCCTTTTTTATATCATGCATCTTTGTTTTTTTAATATATATATATATATATATATATATATATATATTCTTGATTTTTTACAGAGAGGAAGGGAGAGGGACAGAGAGTTAGAAACATTGATGAGAGAGAAACATCGATCTGCTGCCTCCTGCACACCCCCTACTAGGGATGTGCCAGCAACCAAGGTACATGCCCTTGACTGGAATTGAACCAGGGACCCTTCGGTCCACAGGCCGATGCTCTATCCACTGAGCCAAACCAGTTTCAGCATATATCATGCATCTTTGGAAATTGGCCATCCCCATATAGAACATGTAGTAGCATTCAATGAGCTAGAATATTCCACTGACTGAAATAGCCCATGCTCTAGACACCATAAGTAAACCATATTTGTACTCATAAAATATCTATCAAATTGAAGTCTTCCCATTTTCAAAATTATTTAGACCTATAGGATATTTTTATTTTGTATTCTGAGTTAAAAATCACATTTATCTTATTCTTTATAATATTAAAACATATTCCTCAACATATGTAATTTTCCAGAGATTTCTGAAATTAGTCTTTTTGCTCTTGTTAAAATTTCCATACCCCTAAATTTATACTGTCTCAAACAAATAATCCATCCCTTTTTCTATAGTCAGATTATTAGATAAAATTTCAAAGAATTACACCTAATACTTATCATAATATACCTAAATAAGCTTGAAGTATCACATCTAAATTTGAACCTCCAACCAAATCTCCATTATTTCTTTTTTCTCTTCTATTTTTTCTTCTCCTTGAAGTAATTTTAACTAGGCATACATCTCATAAATTTTTTCTAGTTGTTTTTCCTATATTGTCATACAGAACGATTTAAAGATTTAATTTTAAAAAGTCCTGTAATTAAAGTAATGCACTCCTCAGAAACACCCTGTTCTGCCATACAAATATCTTTCATAGGGGAAATTTGAAATTGATAACTACATTCATTTAAATTTGATCTTGTGCTGAATATTGGAGGGAAAAGAATTTAATTGGCTATTTGTGCATCATTCTAAGTAAATCAAATCATTTGATGTTAAAATGGACATTATGATCATTTCAAAAGTGATTTTTGTTTTTGGTAAGTGGGTCCTACAGCATTATGTCTTCATATTTGTAAGTTATTGCACCCTAGCCAGTATTTACATTGCTGCCTTATATTTGCTGCAAACCCCTTCCCAAACTGTGTGCATTGGTTATAATTGGTAATGAGGAAGATAACTCAAACTAAAATTCAAATAATAAAAGCTCCAGGGTTTTAGAGAGATAGGGTAAGGTTAACTCATTTTCAGCATGTGCAGGCTTAATTATGCATGGGGTGAAATATAGGAGGCAAATTGCAGCATAATTAAAAATAAGAAATTTAAAACATAAAACCTTTGCAATATTTCAACTAGGTTTAATAGTCCTAAAATACCATGTTATTCTTTATCACTCATCCTTTCACCCTCACCCCTCCCGTTGGAGGACAATGTTTTCACAGGATCCATACCCAGTTGTACAGTATTCAATTTTGCTTGCTCTACTGTCTCAAAGTGACGTCTCTGTTATTGCCAGTTTGTTTTTGTTGTCTTTCACAAGTCTTTGACCCAGTAGCTGTAGCAAATGGCAGAGGTCTTTGGGTGTCTTAAATAATGCCTATCGCTGTAACAGAACTCCACCTGAGAGGATGCCTCCTGAGCTCCATTACCAGGTTTAATCATGATCATTGTGCCCTCAGTCTAACTGTGATCACAGACTCACTGCAGCTGTCCCAGGGATGCCTGTTGAGTCCTCAGTGGCTGTCAATGGCAGCTTTGTTTTGTAGGGCTGTCTCTGACAAGACTCAATTGGCAGATATTTTTCTAACAAATGTTCCTCCCAGATGCTGCTAGTATGTAAATAGGAAGTGCCAAGATTCAGATAGGAGTGTAAAATCATTGGAAATATTAAAATCTAAAAGTCTAAAACAATCTCATAGAAACAAGAGCGGTTCTGTAGTTGAGAAGGTACCCTGTACTTGGTAAAATAAATTAGACTTCTTTTTTTTTTATGTTTATATGTCACAAAGAACAAGGAATATATATGTACTGCTAATTTAACATCATGGTCGAGCAATTGTCAACATCAGTGCTAACACCCCATATGTAATGTATGTATCTTCATTATCTACCATTCAGGGTTTTTACGGCAGTCTAATTACCAATTTTTGTGGGGGAAATTTGCTAGAATATTTGGTATTCCAAGAAGCCCTAAGGGCCTAAAATCAGCAAAGAAAACTAGTCTGTTTTCCCAGGTACCAAGTAAACCAATTTGAAACATGAAAGTATCCCCCTCTAACTATTCTTCCTGCATTGAAATTCCAAGCTCAGGCAGTACAGAAAGTTCACTTGCTCTTTACCCATAATTCATTGCTTTGGTATCCCTCCAAATCAAATTCCCACGTGAATGATCACAAGCTCTTGCATGTCCGTGTGGTTGCTGCTACTGTGAACAGGAAAGTAAAGCCAAGGGAATGAGAATGAATGTTTTGGTTTCCTTACATTGTTAAGTCAATCTTGTGCATTGAATTGTTCAGCATTTTAATAATGAATAATATGTTTCATTATTTAACATGGGCTCAACATAAAGAAAATGTTAACGAGTTCATATGTTAAAGTCAGAAATGGCAAAGTGGCGGCAAGGTGGCTAGTCACCAGGTTAAAACAAAACAAGCGACAGTATTATTTTTAAAAGAATTAAGGTGGTTTAAATTTCCCCCCAAAATACTCGTATTTCATAGGCAGCAACTAGGAGAAACCAAGTGTACCAGCAGACAGTTGAACTGGCTTTTATTCTTCACTCGAGACTAGTTCTAATTGATCACTATGCTATTGTATGATTTGATTGTGCTGACAGTTACATGCCACTGTTCCCATAATAACAATTTTTCTTCTTTGTTCAAATGAATTTCCTAATTACACGTGTGATGGGATGTTTTAATTCTTTTCCCTTTCAAATCCACCTTCCTGTTGCAATGCATGATGGGCAGGCTCAATATTGTGCATGACACCCGCTACAAGTGTTGGTAGGTGCCAGCTTTGTTTCTTGATTATCTTAAACCTATGGTGCACCTCACAGCCCCTCAAAATCCACTGCTAAGTTTTAACTTTTATCTATTGGGCAAGTCCATTTCCCTTTTACTAACACCTGTCAATTAAATGCCATTTTCTATTTAATTGACACGGACTCACATAAATGTTTTCTTTACACATAACTTTCCTTTAGTCACCTTTAGTGGATTTTGATTGGACTATGAGTTCTAGTGTGTAAACAAATCTATCTCATAAAATGTAATATATTGTTTATTTTTATAATAGTAAATAAGAAAAATTACTTTCATTCAGTTAACTATATATATGAAGTAAATACCTGTATGTTGACTTAGATTTCGAATGTCTATGAACACTATATAAAATTCTTGTTTGTAACTTAGCAAAGTAAGCCTGTTTGTGTCAATTTTCTTAATTTGATGGTAACAAGCTTTTTTTTCCCCTTTTTTTTTCTCTTTCATCTCCCTTCCCCTTCTCTCCTTGGAATGTTGTCCTGCTTTGCGCTGTGATTGCATGTCACTCGCTGGTGATGATGTCCCCGTCACATGGCTTATTGCTGTGATAAATACCATGCCCAATTATCTCCTCCATGTTGCCATGGTTTCCATATTGCTACACTCTTCTGTATGTTTGCTTATATGATTTTCCCTCCGAAAGTTCCCATGGTGCACGGTGCTACGCCAGCCACTGTGTCCGCAGCAACAACATCTGCCACAAGTGTTCCCTTCGCTGCAACAGCCACAGCCAACCAGGTTTGCTAATTTACAGCTTTGTTTCTTAAAAACCAACTCTGATAGGGCTCAATGCAATAGCCCTTACGCACGGGGATTTCCCATTGAGGTCAGTGGGAATCGTGTGTACGTGAGGGCTGTCGTGGGTGCTTTAATAGCATGGGGTTTTCAAAGATTCCTCTTGTTGGCCTACACATTCTCTCTACGATAAGCAGCAGAATGCTTTTTTGCCATTTATAAGTGCTCCAAAGTTGTCGCAGCTCCATTTCTAAAGCTACTAAAATTATATTTACACAAGCAATTCTCATTTGGTCTCAACCAATCATGCAGGTATTTTGACTGATCAAAAAATGCAGCTAATTTTAAGGTTTTTTTAAATTATAAATATCTGATGTGTACAATTTCTCAGTTCTTGCCTAAATTCTTAATATAAAGCACAATACTTAAATATCTAACATATGCCACAAGAACCACTCTTGTAAATAGAGTTTGTTATGAATTTGTTAAAGTTTGCGTACTGTATATTCAAAAATAGATTAAATTCATGTTCACATTTTGATTCTTCAATGAAAAACATTTTTTTTTTCTGTAATTGCCCACCTTAAATGTTGGTGAGTTATGAAGGAAAAAAAAAGACAATCAATTCTCTGTTCCATACACTTTATAGAATAACAATTACACAGGTTACTTTTAAGTAAAAGGGATCTGTTTCAGAAATTTAAATTTAATGATATATGAGAATGACTATTTTAAAGAGAATGAGTATTGAAATATTTTTATTTAAAAAATTGACATTGATTCAATGAGCATTGTCATTGAATCAAATTTATGTAAAGTAGGAGGTTTTGGCTTGAATTATCCAGATATATTTGTTATGAAAGCAAAGTTCAGTACGGTTAATAGCATATGAAAAAATTTAAGAGCCAAATCAGATTTCATATAACCCACAGACTGAGGTTTAATGTAGCCACGTGAATCTCAAAAGAGCCTGTATGAGACGAGAATCGACGCGTTGCCCTTTGGGGAGAGAAGACCAATTAAGTGCTATTTGAATACATAGTTAGTGCTATGAGGAATAGCCACCCTTGTTTCTACAACACACTGTATTCTGTTGAAGAACTAAAAACTATTAGGATAGCCATTAAACACTTTCAAGAATGGTATAGGGATGTATCATAAAGATTCGCACAAGCTTTAAACACTTCTTGGCAAAGACCACTCAGTAGTTTTCCTGAAGCTTGTCAAAATAGCCCTGGATTTATGCTAACACATCAGACTCATTTACAAGAATGCTATTTTGTGCATATGTAGCATGTTAGTAAGTAATCTTTATCCTTCGGCAGACAGTTCTTAATGGATTCAATGCAATCCATTTATGGGGTAGATCGATGATGCCAAATTCTCCTGTGTGTACCATGCATGACCGTAGAATTGCTGGTGTAAGCAGAACTATAGCAAAGCAAATCCCAACATGCCCTTGGCCACCTGGGTTGTAGGGGACACTTTACTTTTTTTGCATTGTGCTGTGACCATTTCATGCATAATCTTGGGTCTTCATACTGTTTTACAACCAAAGGAAAGAAAAGGGAACGGATATATATATACACACATATATTATATCTACATATACATACATATGTATATGCCTACAGTACATTAGCGATGCTGGAAATAGCTGATGCCACAAAATGCAGCCTGCATGCTTGCAGAAGTGTATAGCTGGCCCTTCATCTGCATCGAGTGGTGGTGTTGAAGGTCCTTGGTATGTTTCGACAGCCCCATCCCTGATGCTTCTACACTGTTGGGTGCAACATCCTGTCCTGCAGCAGCAGGAAAAATGGTATGAGAAGCTTCATTATGCTTGGAGCACATTTTCGTGCCATTTGCCAATGCTGTAAAACTGTGTAAAGATGTCAAGCTGAAAAAAAATGGAAATAAAAGTGAGACATATTAATTTACACTCCAGACGGTGGATTGTAATATGTTACATTAGTCTAGGACCTCTCAATTGAAGCAACAACAAGGAAAATGCCTTCATGTATGTGATCTCACTATTCTCCCACAACCTTGCTGGCATGGGATTCGTGCCCCTTTTTGGTTGACGAAACTTAAGCACAGAGTGATGAAGTGCTTTGCTCAAGGTTACACGGTAGGAAATGGGTCACTCGTGTTAGAACTCGTGATCCCAGTCCTTTGAAAGTCTCCATCGATGATGCGGCCTCTCCTAGATTAGCAGCCGTAATTCTGGGTTGTAGGAGGATCAGCTACATATGGGAAGTTCTTGGCTTTGGGGGCTAGTGAAATAAGTCACATCTCTTTTGGTTTCTTACTATCTTTTCTCAGGATTTTTAATTCTCTTGCCCACTTATAATACAAAAAAAAAAAAAAAAAGAAAGAAAGAAAGAAAGAAAGAAAGAAAGAAAGAAAGAAAGAAAGAAAGAAAGAAAGAAAGAAAGAAAAGAAAAGAAAAGAAAAGAAAAGAAAAGAAAAATGTACAATTAGGATTCAGAAATATGTTGTGATGTAGATTTATGCTCTTACCCAGTTCTCTTGAAGTACTGTAATTCCTACCTGGTATTTTAAATTGGAAAAGAAGTTAGATACCATAAGTTGGACAAAAGAAAATGTTAGGAATTGGTTGCACAAAAAATAGGCAAGACATTTTCTACTTTGCTGTTTGGATTACTGAATAACTCAAACTACAGGGGTGTGGGTGTGTGTGTGTAGGCCAACAAAAAGGGCTTCTTTTAATTACTGCTCTGCATGAATTTTTGATAGTTTTACTTCTCTTCTTAAAGTTCGATAACATTGATAGAATGGTATTTAACACAAAGATTTTAAGACTGAGTTGCTACTTTGACATTACGTGTACATTAACTTACTGTTGTGTTGACCAGATAAGGACTATCACCTGACAGCTGAATTTCACTTTTCTTAAAAAAAAAAAAAATTAATATTGAAATGTTTTCAACTCTTGATGGTTGGCTTGCTTGCATGGATCATTCATGAAATAATTTTTTATTTGCTAGATACCCATAATATCTGCCGAACATCTGACTAGCCACAAGTATGTTACCCAGATGTAGAATTTTCATCACTAAACAGTAAGTTCATTATTCGATACATAGTATGTATTTGTGATGGTATTTTTTAAAGATAGCACCTATGTAATGCATTTAAGAAAATGTTTGCAAATTTTCAGGGGAAGTACTTCTGCAGAGTTCATATTTTTGTATTTGATGGGTTATGAGGGATTTTATCATACAAATTTGTAATATGTTTATATCACTTAAATATACATTATACTTAGGGAAGATAAGTTTTGTTTTTAGTTTACATTAGAAATAAACCACAGGCCTGAAGAAAAAAATATGACTTAAATCTAAATAGAAGGCATAGATCAGGAACTAGCAAACTTTTTCTTAAAAGACACAGTAAATATTTTTGGTGGTGTGTGCCATGTGGTTTCTGTCACCACTCTTTTCTGTTTCAGCTACTCAACTCTACAAGAAACAACATGTAAGCGAAAGGGTGTGGCTCTGATCCAATAAAACTTTATTTGCAAAAATAGGCAGCCAATAGGCTGTATTTGGCTCACAGGCAAGAGTTTCTTGATCCCTTTTGTAGATCCTCTTTTTGGGGGGGGAGGGCAGGAAGAGGGAGAAATAAAATCTTAAATGAGAACATGCTTCACCTCACAGTATCATTAGAATGTAAGCAGTATGACTTTAACTAAATTTATATAACCCCTGGCAATGGGCAATGAAATACCTGTTTGGTGGTATTGCTCTTATATTAGTCAGGGGCAAATCAGAGGTACAGTTCTTAGTTCATATTGGCTTTATGCCTGTGTTGGTGGCCAGAGCTGCTTCATGCCTGAGACACATAAAAAAAAAAAGAAAGAAATATATACACATATTCATATATATACATACATACATTTAAATATCCAAATGAGCTAGAGGTACTTTGAAATCACCTTGAGTCACTTTGGCAGATCATATAAATTTCTGAAAATGTTGCAATTCCTAAAAAATGGTGTGAAAGTCTTGTGGCTTGTTTTCAGACACACTGACTTACATACTTTGCAAAGGAAGTAATTTTCCATGCTTAAAGAATATATGTGAGTGTTTTTTTCAGTATGCATGCATCCAAGTTTGCATATATGAAGTACAATAGGTAATTATGTTTATATTTTAAAAGAGCCACAACATTTAAAACTGCCACTGGTGAATAAGATGGATGATCATTCTCTGTTGCTTCCTTTCATTCATTTCTCTTCAATAACACATTTACAAGTGACTTTCTGGTGCTACTATGTGTAAATGACCATGTCAATGAGATAAAGACGAATAGGCAAAAAGATCAAGAGGTAAATTTCAGCACACTCTATTAAAATAAGAAATCCTTGAATAAATTTTTCTTGGAACAATGATAAAGAGCAACTCATCCAATAAAGTTAGAAAGTAAGTGAAATTGGACAAAGAAGGTTGGTTGTTGAAGAGAGAAGAGAGGAGATATGGGCCTATGGGAGAAGGGACAGAGTGCCATGTCAGGAGATGGCAGAGAATCAGTTCAGAGGCCCTTGTGATAATAACTGATAGTGAAAACTGGATAAAGGTTGAGCCCATGCAGAAGAGGAGAGAAAATATGTGAGAGCCATTTAGGAAAGAAAGGAGAGAATGTGAGAAGTACTACCAAAGACATACTACAGTCGTGAAGTACATGACTGAAAATGATTTTGCCTGTCTCACAGCACTCTCTATGCAGTTCTGATAATAAGGTTTATTATTCTGAACAGTAACCACATGTTTGAATAAGCATATTAATTTGTAGTATGTAGGTTTGGAAGAAGAGTTCTTTTTATAATAAAAATCTGTTTCAAGATTTTATAGTCATTTGGGTATGTTTGCCATATATATATATATATATATATATATATATATATATATATATATATTCCTTCTATTTCTTAGCAATAATCCAGGATGCAAAAAATAATGCCAAATGGCCTTATTGCAGTTTGAAAACCTTTGAAGCTTAGGCTGTTCATAGTATATGTATATAACAAATGATTGGTTATTTTCATGAGTTTCAATATTTGAACTTTTTAAAAATATATTTTTATTGATTTCAGAGAGGAAGTGAGAAGGAGAGAGAGAGAAACATCAAGGATGAGAGAGAATCATTGATTGGCTGCCTCCTGCATGCGTCCTACTGGGGATCGAGCTGTCTACCCGGGTATGTGCTTTTGACCAAAATTGAACCCGGGACCCTTCAGTTCTCAGGCCAACCCTATATGCACTGAGCCAAACCAGCTAGGGCTAAACTGGTTCTGAGTGAAGCAAAATAATGGTTTCTTTCATTCTCAAGGTTGTATTCTAAAGTATACTTTTAATATGTGAAGACTCTCTGATGAGAACAAATTTTGTCCAAACACCAGATCTACATACAAATACAATCTATTTCACTTTAATGCATCAGGACCATAAGGAATGATATTACTTTTTCTTGGCTGCAGGAAAAAAAAAAATTGCCCCAAACATTAAATGATCCAAAGTAGTCAAAACTGATTCTTTTCCCCCCTATACACATATTGTGCTAATCAATCACTCAAATACAGATGCTCCTCGACTTATGATGGGATTTGGTCCCCATAAGCTCATTATAAGTTGAAAATACATTTAGTACAGCTCACCTACCCAGCGTCATAGCTTAGTAGCTGGTTTCTACTGAGTGCTTAGCATTCTTACATCAGTGCAAAGTCAAAGAAATGGAAGTTGAGCCCACCCGTAAGTCAGGAAACCCCTGTATCGTGAATCGTGTTTAATGGGGCTTGTTGCATGGATCTGAATTTTGTAAGCCAAAGCTGAAACCCATGAACTTCAGCAGAGAAGTAAAATGAATTTAAATCCTGCCCCACCACGGTAGTGCTAAAAAATTGCCCGGCTATATTTTGTCCCTCGATTCTGCAGTCGTTTTATACTTTTAGCTTAGTCTTTGAGAAGAGTCTAGATCTTCATGAAGCTCTGCGTGTCATTGTATTCTCATGGGAAGGGCCAGCAAATTTAGTTCCATGTGTACTTGTGCAGTGTTTTTCTGTTTTTATATGAAGATGCTATAACTCAAGCCATGCAAATTTCCTAGTAAATATGTATGGAACCTGCTTTGAGCTGTAGCCTGTTTTAACAAAGACTATGTGTTGTTGTTTTTTTCCTTTGTAGATCATACTAAAGAGGAAAGGACAGTGTGCTTGGTTAGAGTAAAGGACGAGGTCATTAGCCATATTGTATATACCGTCAAGCAACCCCCACCAAAACCCCTCAGCCACAAGACATCCACATACTGCATGTTAACCAGAAGAGAAGACAACATGGAAACCCACTGCACACTGTTGCCTATATACTTTGTACATTTAATTGATATTCGTGCTGAGGTGATATACCTGTCTATAAAAGAACAACATCGTCTTTCTTTTCTAGCACAGGGTTATGCATTCAAGGATGCAGACCTAATTAGTTTCCTAATAGATTCATGCCATCTTGAAAAGACAGACTATGGTGTAATCACGATTCTCTTATGTATTGGTACGTCTGTAGACCAAGATATAATTAAAAAAAAAAAAATAAGTTTATTTCTTTCAAGGTTTACAAATAACAAAGGTGCACCTTGTATTTAAAATTGCCATTAGAGGTGAAGAGCGTGCATGCACAGTCATTTTTGTTTAAGAGTAATATTTTTAATGTAATAGATTGTAAGATGAGGTGAGGGAGGGATCTGACAGAGATGAATGTGCCAAGCAAAACCACAACTGTGTATCTTTTAAAGCACATCATGGCTTTAAGTACCATGTTGTAAAGGATTCTCATGAAGTGCCATAGACTGTACATCAAATTAGAGTATTATTTCTTCAGTGTTATTGTTTTCAGAGCCACATTTTGTTGCTTATTTGCTAGTACTAATCAGTCAAAGGGCACCATTCTTTTTTTTTCTTTTTTCTTTTTTTTGGAAACCAAAGCTGTCTCAGAAATGGCCAATGTAACCACAGTAACAATAGAACAGCACAACACCATTTCTCTCAATACCGATAAACTCACACATACTGGAGATATATATAATAGATTATATATATATATATAATTATTTTAATGCATTGTAGTGTAATATTTATGCATACTATACTGTATAACATGATATTCAAAAGGGATATGCCATTTCTGAGACACGATTAACAAACAAAAAAAAAATGTTTGAGGAAATTATTTTGCTTCTATTTATAGCTCTGTCAAAGTCAAAAGACTCTAAATGCTTTGCAAAAATGGTTCCACGTTTGCTTAAATGCTTCATCACAGTCACGTTGAAAATAGTGACTCTAAACAAAGAAGAAAGCAGCACTGTCATCAGATGCATGATAAACCAAAATATGAAAATGGGAGGTGTTTCACTTACCTAGCAATCAGGTGGGTTATACGTACTTAGGGGAATTTTATACGTGATTTATTTTGTTTTTGTTCCAATTAACTGCTTATAGCCTTAGAAAGCCTTTTACAAAATTATAAAAATAAAATAGATGTGCATTCAGCTTTTAAGAATGGATTCATCCAAAGGAATTCCCTTTTTGTGGTTTGGGTGTTGCAGCTAGTAAGGGTATTTTTGCTCTGGTCAGCGGTTTTGCAACCGCTGAAGTAGGGGCCAGGTCACTGGTAGTTATAGTATGGAATGGGAGAGGCGAAAGTTCAGTTGTAGAACTTTCCATACTTCCAAGTTTACTGCAAGTTTTTATGCCTGAGAGAGATGCTTTCTAATATAAGACTGATGTGTTGATTTTACTGACTGTACTGTACATCTATTAAAGCCTTAGATTATTACATTACGGGTTGGAACCCATACCAATGTAATTTCAATCGTGTTAAGAGAGTAATGGTGACTTCACATGTTATTGTAGTTAGTTACATTATAGAATATTACTTATTTTTCTTGTTAAACTGTAGTTTTTCATTTCCTACATTTCTTAGATTTCATTTTGTATTAACAATTGAATACCATTTCAGTTTATAGACTCTTGTTTTATTAGACTTTACTGATGAATTTTTCAAAATACAAAAAAAATTTAAAGTAGTTTTTCCTTCATAACATACTCAGTTTTGAATTATATGTAGTGTCATATGAATATTCGTATTATTGTTAACTAAATGATTTCTATTTTACTGATTTAATATTAAAGTGTAAGAATGTCAGTCATTGTTAGTTCTTGTCTAGTTTTCATTAAAAGAACAAAGATCTTTTATATGGATATCTTATAAATATATAATCATTGCTAAGTAAGAAGTTAAGTTGTTGCTATCGCAACAATCCTGGCAGACAATTGAGTAATATTTTGATGATTTATTTTGTTTGTAATTAGTTATTATAAGAAGACCTAGAATCTAGATATTAGAATAAAATTTATTTTCTACTGTATCCATTTCAAATGTTAAAGTATTGTTTAATATTTTTGAAATCCCTGAATATCAAGCCTTGTTATAAATAAGCTGCATAATCAATAAGTAGAACAAGGGACTTTTTGTTGATAATCCAAATACTCAAAGTTTACGTAAATGAGAATTCTAGCGTGTGTGCAAACTCTTGAGGGTTGATTATGCTGCAATTGAGCATGTTGGGACGTCTAGAGAGAAAGTTGACTTTTTGCACTTCTGTATATAGTCAAAAGAGAGAAACCTGTATAATAGTAAGATCTTATTTTGAATAAAAACGTCTATAATTACAAGGAGTTTTGTTAAGGCTAATAAAATGAGACTGAGCAAAATTGCTTGCAAAAGTGGCACCGAGTTAGCACTCCGTACCCCTTCAAACGTTGCTTTGCTTTTTTGTGGACAGCTTGTAGTTTGCCAGGATTTTTTCAGCTGGAAAGATATGCCACCTTCCGAGATCTCATGACTGACAAAAACTCCACTGGGCCAAATCTGCTTGAAGACCATTACCAAAAATAGCAGGTACTTCAACCATTAAGGTGAAATCATGGATCAGATATTCCCTACATTTTTCAAAACTACTGCATGTTTAAAGCTTCAACAACAACAACAACTACAACAAAGAGAGAAAGAACTATACTAAGGACATATTATTCTAATCAGTTTCTGCCAATTTCAGTGGTTTATTGTTCACACACACACACACACACACACACACCAATCTTCAAAAACAAGTAATGACTTTCACAAAATTGAAACTATAAACAGGCAAACCAAACAGCACAGCGTAGCTCTAGTTGTTATGTGATTGTTTTTTTAATTGCTGTAGGAAGCCTGTTCTTTCAGCAGGTGAAAAGAGAAAACACTGTTCAAAGTTCATGGTTCTAAATTGGCAACTCAGAAGCACTCAAAAAAGCGACTGTGATCACGGGCACTTGTTGAATGAATCTGTATGGCCAGCCCTCATGCCAGCTGGTTCCCACGTTGCACTTACCGGCAACCCCACCCCTTTCATCTGCTGACAGGACAGATGTGCTTGGTTTTACTCTTATGTAATCACAACTTACTTTCTGCTTGTAGTTGCTTACAATTATGTATTTTGTCTTGGGCTGCGATTTGTTTTACGCTTCTTTTATTATTACCGCAGTAGTTGACTTTGCTGTATGGAAAAATAAAGTGAAATTGCCCTAATAAAACTTCTCTTTCTTAAGTATATTTGTGTCTCTGATTATAGAGTAAAAATTTTTTTGCGCCTTTTGCATACGTCTGTGTGTGTGTGTGTGTGTGTGTATGTGTATGTGTGTTACGAATGCATCTTTATAAAAATGCATTCTCTTTTTTTGTTTTGTTTTTTTAATGTATTTTATTGATTTTTTACAGAGAGAAAGAGAGAGGGATAGAAAGTTAGAAACATCGATGAGAGAGAAACATGGATCAGCTGCCTCCTGCACACCCCCCACTGGAGATGTGCCCGCAACCAAGGTACATGCCCCTGACCGGAATCGAACCTGGGACCCTTCAGTCCGCAGGACGACGCTCTGTCCACTGAACTAAACCAGTCTTGGCACATCCTCTGGTTTAACTGACCATAAGGAAGGTCATCACTGCCTTTCTTGCTGACCCACCTTTGATACCAGAAATGAGAATGTGAATCCTGATGTGTTGACATCCCACTCCCAACGCTTTCTCGAAGCTCTTGCCCTCTCGTCCCTGACATGCTAAGTGCTATCTGATAGGATTTTAGGTGTAGTGGGGGAAACTATAAAAGAAAAAAATAATAGTCTTATTAATTCTAGATCGCTGTCTTTCTCTTAAAGACACTTTATTTGACTGACTTCTCCAGGAAACCACTAACACTGGAAATCAGGCAATCTAAGAGAATATTTTAATAAAGACAGAGTGATGACACTGGATTCAGAGGGACAAGAGAGTCCAGACACACTCACACACATGCACACAGCTGAGCCACGTCTTAACACTCTAAATTATATATATATATATATATATATATATATATATATATATATATATATATATATGGTTTCAGAGAAGGGAGAGAGAGTGAGAGACATTAGTGATGAAGAGAATCATTGTTGATCGGTTGCCTCCAGCATCCCCCCCACTGCAGTTCAAGTCCACAACCCAAGCATGTGCCCTAATCAGGAATCAAACCATGACCTCCTGGTTCACAGTTCAATGCTCAATCATTGAACCGCACCAGCCAGGCCATACCTCACTCTTGATAGTACCTTTGTGTGTGTGTGTATGTGTGTGTGAATTTTTTAAAGGTTGAATTAAAAATTTGGTTGAACTAGGCCACATTTTCCATATGGTGTTGACTTGCCTAGTTTCCAGAGACAGCCAGTGAAAGCCAGAGTTCCAATGTGGAGAAATTTTCTAATTTGATTATGTAGTGCACTTTCTGTAACCGTGCCACTTGGTATTTGGTTAAAGCTGCAAATTCTCTTTACAGGTCAATTATCTTTTTCTAGACTGGCAATAAATGTGTGATATTTATAGCTAATACAATTCTGTTCCTGGTTAAGTTATCCTGAGTAGACCCAACTATTCAAGGTGCTGTTTATCAGCAAGAGAGCAGCTGCCCTAAGTTATGGTTCTCTAAAGCGGGGGATTACAACTATTTTGAGTGTTACACCAAAACATCCAGCTCTCCTATTAGTGTAGTACCTTTGATATCTTTCTTTAACAACATCATTATAATATTTTCATGTTAAGTGCATTTTATTTCTTTAATCACAGCATATATATATATATATATATATATATATATATATATATGCATTTGAAAATGGGTGTTGAAATATTCTCCAGATGCTTAGTGTTCAGAAGGAGTTATTACTTCAGTGACCACTAGGGGTCCTCAAGTCACAGGACGGGAGTGTGTTTTAGAAGTGCTTAGTTTCTTCTTTGGGAAACAATAACATTTGCAAGAGTTTCATTACAGACCTTTGACCCTCACAGAGTTCACACTTTGGAAAGACCCTGAAGGACAGTGACATGTGACCATCTCTAATTTCATGGAGGCACACTTTTGAAGAGTAGCTTCCTTCAAACAGCAGCCACTTAACATGTACCTGTTTAGTGGGACACTCAGCAAGATTTTGTTATTTTTCTCATTGTTATTACTCTGTTCCCTGGTGGGTCTGAGGCAGTTACTCTCATATTGGAGTACTCTACCTGTTCTGGA